GATAGTCTGTTTCCAGAGCAAGTCATTTCAATTCCCATTATTGTTGTGCAGTATAGACTTATGAACACTGTTATTATCTTTTTACTAAGATTACAGACACATTTCATTGCATAATTTGCAGCTAAATATTTGACTCTTGAAAACTTTAATTCTTTTCCAGCAGGGACTCTCTTTGATAACTTTGATTTAGGTGGTAAGATGGTGGTAGCTTAATGAACGTTTGTGTTCCAGCAATTCTACAAACCCATTCATTATTTGGCTCACATCTGTAGCCTAGTTGCAAAAGTCATAATCTTTCTCATCTAAAGTATATTCTGGTCCTTAAGGTTTGGTTTTCTCTCTGCTAGAAAGTTAGTGGGACATCTAACCTGGTGATAGTCATTTTATAGGTTCTCCACCAACCATTCCATTTTAAATGTTGATACTGCTAAGTGCTGTGTATAAACTATGAACAAAACAGAAGCTTCTATTTGATGAAAGAAATCAGAAGACAGTGAGGTACCATGGAGTAGGGTTAAAAAACAAAAAAGAAACTTGATTTATTGTTTTGCATGTAAATTAAAAAATGACATTAACTTATTTCACCACCATTATGTTTGAAAGTAAAATCTCAGCAGAGTTCAATTTAGTATGACCACCAGCTTTATTCTGCTTTTATACAAAAACAACCCATCTCAAATATAGAATGTGGCCTCTTAACAGAACTGTGCTTTTATACTCCTTAAGACAGACAGATGAAGCGTGTCCATGCAGCCGTGTGGGGTCGTATATGACCCAGCTCCAGACACTGGCAGTGAGCAAGCCTGTCTGGGAGTGACACAGTGTGAAACAGTCTGTTCCCCTTGCAGCTGTTCACATTTCCTCATTTTGCCTTGGGCTGTGTGTGCGCGTGTGTGCATTTTAATAAAAAGTGCTGAACTTGCATAACTATAATTGCATTAGAAAGAGAAAAACCCTAAGACATTCATTCTTGTTTTCTCTCTAGGAATAATTTATTAACATTTTTTCCTCCCTCTGCCTCACCCTCTACACCTCAACTTTACAAACACACTTGAAGTCTTCAGATGGCAGGGAAGCAACCAACCAATGGAAATATTTTTATCATTTCAGTTCACCTTCAATGTGAGCTTCTAGGGCACATGTTAGCAACTACAGCTGTTAGGCCAAATCCAGCGAGCCACCTGTTTTTGTAAATAAAGTTTTATGGGAACCCAGCCATGCACATTCATTTATGGACTATTAATGGCTGCCTTCATACACACAGCAGGGTTGAGTGGTTGTGACAGAGTCCACATGGCCCACAAAACCTGAAATGTTCATCATTTGGCTAGGCAAGGATGAGGATTCTAAACTTTCTTTAATAGGGCAAGGCTTGCAATTGACTGCCTAATATCTTTCAAATCACATTTAGTTATTACTTTTTTTTCCCTACAGCCTATAAATGGCATTTTCTACAGTTCTTTCCCCAAATATTTGCTGAAGGTGTCTCCCTCTCATGAGACTGTGTTACTGAATTCTGATACAAGCCATGGTAATAGTACACATCAGGAGGCCGGTCTCTTCCCTACTATCTGGCTCCTGGATGCTATGTGTTCACTTCATGTCACCGGATGTCAGCTCTCTCTTTTTTAAAATGGAGGAGTTGAATCATGTCAATATCTAAGATCTCTTTTACATTGAAAAATTTTTGAAGTCGGGCCTGAAGCATAGCAAAAATAGTAAAAGAATTAAATGTGGTCAAAATTTCTTTCTTAATTTTCTGGGAAGGCTTTTAACTGTGCAGTCAGAAAGATGATCGATGACATCTGGTTCCTAAAGAAGTTAAAATAAGTATTCCTGCTCTGTTTCTTTTTTTTTTTAATTATCCATTTACAGTTCCTATACACCAGTTAAATACTCTTTTTTTTTTTTTAGAAACATTTATTAAACATCTACTATGTACTCAGTCTCATAGTAGGTGCTGTTACTGAATGTCAGAGGACTCAAGAGTCTGTCTGATCATAGAAAAGAGTAGTCATGTCCCTCAGGCAGCCAGTGCTCTCTTGGCTGTTAGCGCCCAGGGTGTGGCAGGCATCCAGACGTTGTCTCAGTCCCAGATTGCCTCTGCGTCATTGGTGTACTCTGCAGCTGGCCCCGGCAGCACCCTCTCAGCTCCTGCCTTCAGCCGTGACCCCACAGGCACTTCTGGGTCCCCTTGCTCTGTGCAGACAACCCTCTAGGTCAGGGTTCCACCAAGATGGCTCTAGCCAGATTACATTCTGAGGCAGCCCCTGGACTCAACGGGAAACACACATTCTTGCCACAACATACACTGCAAGTGCGGGCTGCCCTGCTGTTGACCTCTTACTCCGCCATCAAGGACTGCCTCCAGTCAGGCAGCCTCCAACCAGGAAAGAGGCTCTTTATACTTGGGACCCCAAACACCACATGTCAGGCAAAATAGGGTGCTGGGATGAGTACGGAAGGACCAATTTAGCTACCTTTCAGCAAGTCCTAGAGGGATGGCCTGGCAGCTTACTGTGGGCTTTAGCTGAAAGTCTAAGACAGCAGGCCAAGTCCCCAAACCCCATCATGCTAAGTATACTTTGTATATGATAGATGGGGGCAGGCGACAAAGGGTGGGTGATAAACAAAGAGAGCCCGCCTTTGTTCTCAAGGTTCACTCACCGAAGGAACCACATTGTAAGACCAAGCCAAAAATAAAAAGCCTCCAGTGATAGAGTGATTCTGGGAGCTTGGAATTTTTGTTGCTTTGTGAGTTAAAAACTATAATGTGCATTTATTAAATGTGTAAATAGAAATTAATCATGGTTGAAATTTTTGAAAGTAACATTAGTAATAGTCCTTGGTCAGGCAGGGCTTCCCTGATAGCTCAGTTGGTAAAGAATTTGCCTGCAGTGCAGGAGACCCCAGTTTGATTCCTGGGTTGGGAAGATCCACTGGAGAAGGGATAGGCTACCCACTCCAGTATTTTTGGGCTTCCCTTGTAGCTCAGCTGGTAAAGAATCCTCCCGCAATGCTGGAGACCTGGGTTCGATCCCTGGGTTGAGAAGATCCCCTGGAGAAGGGAAAGGCTACCCACTCCAGTGTTCTGGCCTGGAGAATTCCATGGACTGTATAGTCCATGAGGTCGCAAAGAGTTGGACACGACTGAGCGACTTTCAGTTGGTCAAGAAAAAGGCAAGACTCTTTATGGTAAAATTAGACATTATAAAGACATTGTAATTATAAATGACAGTGCCGACAACTTATAAAGCTTCAAAATAAATTCGGTCTGTTTCTAAACAGCATTCAAGAGTTTTAAAAATCTTTTCATTATCCATGTATATTTTTTATTTTGTTTGATTATTAATATGATGACATGTCAGGTGATATTTTAATTGTTAGCTATTTTACAGCCTGAGCTACCAGGGAAGTCTAAGTGTTAGCTATTTTAAATGTGGTTTTTTATTTTTAACTTACAATTCCTTACTTTTGGAGGGTTGTGTTCTTTTCCCCTCCTACTTTTTATTGCAGATATACAGTATTTAATTTGTCTCTATAGACTAGTCTGGGAACTGACACGATATATAATATTATTTCTATTGAAAAATAATATTCACTGGTTCCAAATTTCAGAATTCACAATCTTTAGAGATGAAAGCCATTCAGAGGACAGAGACTGCGTTCATGTATGCTACAGGGATTTGAGCAAACATTTATAAATGAGCCACATATTGCTAGTTCTCTAAATGTTAATATAATGCTTTAAATAGACCAATATTTTACTAGCCTTCTTTTTTTTCCATTTATTTTTATTAGTTGGAGGCTAATTATTTTACAATATTGTAGTGGTTTTTGCCATACATTGACATGAATCAGCCATGGATTTACATGTGTTCCCCATCCCGATCCCCCCTCCCACCTCCCTCTCCATCCCATCCCTCTGGGTCTTCCCAGTGCTTCTTACATTATTTATTTAAGCTCTAATTTAGTAGTACATTCTTAATGCTGACATTTTCAAATGATCACTGCTATATCTTCACACTGCTATCATTAGGCTTTATTTATTTATTTGTCCTATCTGTCTGCCTGTCAGTCATTGGGAATTTTTATGTATGGTATGGCTCAAATATTTACAAGTCGTAAAGTTTTATCTTGCATCAGTATAAACAAGTCTAACTGTAATCTGGAGAATATTTACAGTATTTGACCTCTGCACTGGCACTGGTACACGTAGAAGGAGAGGAAAAAAAAAAAACAAAACCAATCCTCCAAAACCCCCCACCTATTTTAGAGAAGTTAGGAAATAGAAGTGGCAGACTAGCCAAGATCATTTTCAGCTTTTCACTTTTCAAAGCAAACTGTTGAATGAGATGTTTCATCTGAGGCAGAAAGTAATATTTTAGTTGCATTTCTACACTACAGGCATTTTTCTCTTAAAAAATTTCTTCAGAAAGTTAAATTTTGGATCATTTAGATTTGTGGAGTTTTTAAAATATCGATTCTTTTCAGTGTCTTCTTGTAATCTATGAATTTACAGGTTAAAAATGAAAAAGGTTTGTGTCCTTAATTTCTTGCTGAAGGATGCCAGCACTGATACTGTTAATGAACAGCCCTAGTAAAACAAGTATAAACCTTTCATGAGAACATTCCTTCCTAGAAGGAGTTGGGTTTGCCCTTTCCCAAGATTTAGATTTCTGTGAAAATTCCTTCAGACATGTCTTGGCCAGAAAGCATTCTTTCTTTCTACTCTCTATTCATCTTATTAAATGTCGCTTCTATCAGAGGGAAAAAATGCTGTGATTACTGAAATATTGATGATTTTTTAAAAGATAGGCGTAGCACTCATCCTGACAAGTCTCATTTGAATGAATAAGAGATTTAAGAAGAACATCCCACTGCAGTCATCAGCATGCCTTTTTAAAGGGAAAATGTTGTTTCGTGAGATAATAAATATGAAGCTTTGAATTTTAGCCAAGAATTATGAATGTTGATTGGATATTCTCCTTTGCTTTTAGCTGTATGACAAAATTAACACGAAGTCTTCACCGCAAATCAGGAATCCTCCGAGCGATGCAGTACAGAGAGCCAAAGAGGTAAGTGATAAGTATTTTGTAAATGTATTTGGGTTTCATATGTGCTACCTTTAATGAAAACGTTTCTGCCACACAGTAAGTGGCAGTTTCCTTGAAGTCACAGCTGGACTATAATACTCAGATTTAGTATTTCTAAGTTTATCACTGAGTATTTACATACAGAAGAGAAAAAAGAAATCTCAGCAGCAACGTTGCCTAGATTTCTAGTTCTGGTTCTGCTATGTAAACTTCAACAGGTTAGCATATTGATTTTACTTCTCTTTTTAAAAAGAAGGAAAAAGTTATTTTACCACACTTGGTGGAAATAGATGTGCTATGAAAATTTGGGTTGCTTTTTTTAAGGTGGTAATATTAGAAAGTTAATTAAATATTTACAGCAGCTAACTTCAAAGAGAAGTCATTTTTATAAATTGCCAGTTAATGTACATCTTTCACAAACTTTTACCTTTTTTATTATAGAAACATGATATTGCAGAAAGTTTGGAAAGTAGAAATTCACCTATAATCCCATCTCCTTACACAGTAATTTTCATTTTCACTTCCCCTTTTCTATTCACTATCATTTGCATATAAATTTTTTGTAGTTACAATCACAGTGTATCTTTCTGTTGAAAAGTGAAAGTGTTAGTCGCAGTCGTCTCCGACTCTTTGTGACCCCATGGGCTGTAGACCACCAGGCTCTTCTGTCCATGAGATTTCCCAGGCAAGAATATTGGAGTGGGTAGTCATTCCCTTCTCCGGGGGATCTTCCCGACCCAGGGATCAAACCCCAGTGTCCTGCATTGCAGGCAGATTCTTTACCGTCTGAGCCATCAGGGAAATCCCAATCTTTCTTTTAACCTATGTAATTTAATAAGCATTTTTCCATGCTTCTACTTGGTCTTTGTAAATAAGTTCTAATATTGGCATAGTTTTTTCTTTGCTATTACTAAATTGTAATGAATTAACAATGCCTCCATTGTTAGACACCTAATGAGATTTTTTTTCACTTTTTGATGTCATAAAAGTCTTTATCCAAAGAAATATTTTCCTCTGAAAAAGATTATTTTTCTTATAAAGTGAATTACTATGTGAAAGAATATGAAGACCTAATTCCTTCCCAATCAGATGTTAAACACAACACCTGTACCGGAAAATATATATTCAGTGAGAAGCAAGACCAAGGAAATAGAGGTGGCAACAGTCAGAAGAGACTCTCTCTAAACTAGGAGACCACACTGCAGTGCTTAAAATCATAGGCTGTGAGAGTAACAGAGAACCAGAGAGAGTATATTGTTTCATCTTTTGTTTGACTGGTAAAAAACTCAAAGCATAAAATACACCAAAGGAGAATTGGCTTATTATCATTAAACAATATGAATTAACAGCCTAATCAGCACGAGTTAAGAGTACATTTCGACAAGAAAGGGATCTTGTAGTTTTCACTGGTTTGTTCTTACCTGAGGAAGTGATTGAGTAGCACTAGCTAACATCTAGTCTTAGGCTAAGTGACCTCAAAACATCCCTTCCTGCTCCAGTTGTAGGACTCTCAAAGGCAAGTCAAGAGACTCCTGGTGGGTACATGACTTGCATGCCCCTGACAGCCACTACTGCTTCAGCAATCCTTGATCAGCTTGACTTTTTTTCTTCTTCATTTATTTATATTAGTTGGAGGCTAATTACTTTACAATATTGTAGTGGTTTTTGCCATACATTGATACGAATCAGCCATGGATTTACATGTGTTCCCCATCCCGATCCCCCCTCCCACCTCCTTCAGCTTGACTTTTAGAATTGAGGGCACTGTGTATAACCACTCTGAATCCAACTATCTATAGTTAGAACTGCAGTAATGGATTTACTCTGAAAAGGAACAGAGGACTTCCCCAGGGCTCGTGTCACATAATCAAATTTTAAATGGGTAAACTCCATTCTACTGGTAAGGGATCTCTTTTGAAGAACAATTTCATTTGAAAACCATTTAAACCTGTACAGAGAAAATGTTAGCAACTAATTAGTGAAGAAAATGTGAGTGAAAAGAGGAAAGTTTTTGATTGTGTGTCTTTTTTTTCCAACTATTGGTGGTGGTGGTTTAGTTGTTCAGTCAGGTCCAACTCTGCTACACTACAGACTGTAGCCTGGCCTACAGGCCGTAGCCTGCCAGGCTTCTCTGTCCATAGGATTTCCCAGGCCAGAATACTGGAGTGGGTAGCCGTTCCCTTCTCCAGGGGATCTTCTCGACCCAGGGATCAAACCTGGGTCTCCTGCATTGGCAGGTTGATTCTTTAACATTGAGCCCACTGAGAGCTCTTTCATGCCCTGGCAATTAATTCTAGGAACCATTGCCAAGACGTGGTTTTATCTATGTGAGATGAGTGTGGAGAATAACATTGATTCTGTCAGGCTACAAGGGAAAGTATTTGTGTTTCTCTTCTTCATTATTGTTTGAGCCTTTGCAATTTTAATCTTTCTGAAAAGAATGGACAGTTTTGTTAATTATAAAAGAAATCTGTTATCAACTTGTACTACAGATTCATCTTGATGGTAAGTTTGGAAAAAGATTTGTGGAGACATTTTCCCATTAAGTTTAATTAAGTTACCTAGGCCTGTAATAAATATGTATTACAGGCTTGTCATTTTGTTTTGTATTTTTCAATAATCTTTTGAGTTATAGTTGGGTAATGAAGGCAGAGACTATTACAGCAATTTGTTTTATTTTTTATTACCACCAATGTAGTTCCTATGTATTAATAACTTTGAATAAAATGATGAATTTTTTTCTAGAATAATTATTTTGCCTGCCATAAAAATCCATTCAAACTTTTTAATTTAAAAAGAATTCTATATTTTCTCAATCTAGCATCTTCTTCACACTATTTTATATCTTGCTTGTTTTTTTAGGTATTGGAAGAAATTTCATGTTACCCTGAGAATAACGATGCAAAGGAACTAAAGCGTATTTTAACACAACCTCATTTCATGGTGAGTAACAGTTAAACTTCTGTAGAAATAAAACCTCACTTTCAAAAGAGGGTTTTACTAATTCTTATGAAATACAGCCATCTTCATCAAATGTGCTTTCAGCCATATGTCAGAGTGTTAAGATTACAATACCAGATAATACCAAATTGTAAAGATGCTATTTGCCAACCTCATGGAGTTGGAATAAGAATTAAGTAGATGATACATCTACTGTGCTTTGCACAGTGTCTGATATATCCTTGATGCCTAATAATTGTTAGCTAATGAATATTATTAGTTACTCCATAGTATCTGTCATGTCTAGGGCACAGTACTCAGTAAAACATTGAATAGATTAGGAACTTGCCCATTTGCAGATAAGTTAGTCAAGTGACTGTTCTGTGCAGTGTGTTTTCTGTAGATAGAAGCCTGTACATTCTGGACAGATGGGTCTGTCTATAAATTGATAAGTAACCCTCAGCTCAATTCCGAGAATGATGTAGGACCATTGATATCAGTAAATCTTTCAGATTCAAAGTAAGCTAAATAAAGAAAATAATATATACCCAAATAAAATCATTTTTTTAAGGTTAAGGTTTTTTTTTCCCCAAAACCATTAAAGCTAAGACAGCCCCATCTCTCACAACTTCGAAGCCTTGGTTTATTTTGCTTTTCTGACATCAGAGAGAAATTAATATGTGCATTGCTATTAGTAAGCATTTTCAGAAATAGTAAATAGTTCTTGTAATTTCCTGGCTCAGGAGGATCTGCTGGAGAAGGGATAGGCTACCCACTCCAGTATTCTTGGGCTTCCCTGGTGGCTCAGCTGGTAAAGAATCTGCCTGCAATGTGGGAGATATGGGTTCGATCCCTAGGTTTGGAAGATTCCCTGGAAAAGGGAAAGGCTACCCACTCTAGTATTCTGACCTGGAGAATTCCATGGACTATATAGTACGTGGGGTCACAAAGAGTTGGACACAACTGAGTGACTTTCACTTTCACTTGTAATTTCTGAACACCCAGCTAGATTCTTAAAAGACATTTTCATTTACTCATCAAATATGTAAATGCCTACTGTATGCCAAACACCGTGCTGGGCACTAAGGGTAGTGGTGAATAGGATCAATATACTTCCATTCTAGGTGGGGCATGGATAGGTGAACTAGAGACAGAAAGAGCCAGTGAACAAACAAGATAAGTTCATATAGTGATAATAACTATGAAAAAAAGACAGGACAATGGGGCAGAGATGATAGTAAAGGAGAAGCTATTTCAGAGAGTCGGGAGAAAGGCCTTCTGAGGAGTTAACATGTGGGCTGAGACTTGTTTTATGAAAGAATCAGCTTTCTGAATGTCCAAGCATGGGGAAGAGCAAATGCAAAGGCCTAGAAGCAGGAAAGAGCTTCATAGGGTCAGAGTACAGAAGAAAGGCCATTGTGGCTGGGATATTGTAAACAAAGGGGAGAGTGGCAGAGGCCAGACCACAAAGGGCCTTCGGGGCCATGGTAAGGAATCTGGATTTTCTCCTGATTGCACAGGTGACAGTGACTGCAAGCAGGAAAATATTGTTAGACCTGTGCTTTTTTAGAGATTGCTAGAGCTGTTGTGTAGAGAATGGACTGTGGTGAGGATAAGAGTTAAGAGAGGGAGACCAATTAGGAGGCTTCTGTGAGGTGGTAGAGGCTTGGAGAAGGATGGGGCTGATGGAAAATGAGCAGACTGGGATTCTGCTTTAGAGATGGTTGAACACGGACTTGATGGCTGAGATGTGAGGTAATGTGATTAATTACATTTTACAGTTCAGAGAGGAAACTGTACCCTAGAAAGGCTAAGAGGCTTGCTTTAGGTCACCTACCTAGTAAGTGGCCTCATGGAGGTTCAAAACCCAGATCTTTCTGACTCCAAAGGCTGTGCTCTTAAATGACTTGTAACAAGGATTGATTTCCTATAAACTTAATTTGAACTCAGTGGTCATTCCCAAATAAGCATATGTTTGGCTAATGTCCTGTGTGGGAGGTATAATTCTGAGCTGTATATACTATGTTAAACTTTTAAATGCTAGAGCTTTCTATTTTAAAAGCATTTAAGATCATGATTTCAAATTTTTGGTATTGTTAAATAATAGTAAAGGAAAAAATTTAATTTATAGTTTTTATTATACCAAAGTTTGGGAGTTGTTCTTAGCATATAATTTTGTACTTATTTCTTCAATTATTTGACTTTTTCTTTGCTTTCTGATCATTAAAACATGAGGATTTAATATTGGGTTACCTTACATTTAAAAATACAGATACTTATAAATATTTATAGTAATTAAAAGAAGAAAGTATAGGTTTAAATGATTTTTTAAATTCTGTACTCAAAAGGTCATGATAAAAAATATTAGCACACTATCCTTTTTCAGTTATTCCATTTTAAAGACATGGTTTTTTTTTAAAGAGATCCTTTGCTTTTTTTAAAAATATCCTTTGCTTATTGCATTTGTAAAATATAAAACATTAAGGATAAAGACAATAAACAGAACTGAATGTCTGTGCTTTGATTTTTTTTCCTTTAAAATTTTATGTCCTAAATCTTATTTTTTGAAATTTGTATCTTACTTTCTCAATAAAAACAAGGTGGTTATAATCACCTTAGGTTGATTTGAAAGTTTCATTATTGAGTGATAAATTGATAAATAAATGATAAAGTGATAAATGATTTGTAATTAAGAAGCCAGAAGAACCACTTTCAAACCTAAAATTTCTTTTTCCTGTAAATTTTAAATGAATTTTTCCCACTCTAGTCTGAAGTTCTTAGTTGTCTTGTCCATGTCCCTTTTACATACAAAACATAAAATTGTCTTTTTCCTTTTACATGATTCTTCTTATGTAATTAAATATAATAGCTATTTCAGCTTAGTAACAATTGCTGAATCACCTCATAACATACTTGAAGAAAAATATTCAAACTCTAATTTCTCTATTTTTTATTTGGCATACTCTTTTAATGACTTTTTTGACAATCTGTAAGTGGCCCGTTTTTTTGTTTGTGTGTGTGTTGGATAAAAGTTTCATTTTGTGGTAGCAGTTTTTACAGTAGCAAATAAAAGTTAGTATCAAGTATGACCTCATTTGGTGATATAATTTAAGGATTTTTCTCTTACAGTTCAAATTTGGTATTTTTGTGATTGTGGGCTTGTCCTTCCTTATAAATAAAACATTAATACAAGTGTTTGCTTATATAATTTAAAAGGATGGATAGAAACTGTTTGCAAAAAACAGTATAAACACTTTCTCCAACCCATGTAACTAGCATTTTCCTAATGAAACTTGGTTCTCTGTTTACCTAGGCATATATCCTCCGGTCATACAAGGCATATTTTTTAAAATTCACTGTTTATAGAAAACACATCTATAATTAATGCATGCGTGCTAAGTTGCTTCAGTCATATCCAATTCTTTGCAACTCTATGGACTGTAGCCCGCCAGACTCCTCTGTTCATGGGATTCTCCAGGCAAGAATACTGGAGTGGGTAGCCATTCCCTCCTCCAGGGGATCTTCCCAATCCAGGGATAGAACCCGCGTCTCTTATGTCTCTCACATTGGCAGGTGGGTTCTTTACCACAAGCGCCACCTGGGAAGCCCTATAATTAATACAACGAACCTAATTTTAACAGATGAAGTTTTTCAGTTCACCTATAATTAATTTTTGCTTTCTGCCTTAAATCTTAGTCTCTTAAGAGGCTATAATTAAACCAGCCAAAGAAGGATTTCCCCACATAGCGCAGCCATGACCACTTTGGCTAGGGGTACTCATGTAGGGTGTAGCCAGGACACAGGTCAGGAAGCCCAGGTCCCCAGGGCCATTGTGGAGGCTGGCTTTCAAACTGTGCTACTTACTGTCCCTCGGTGCCTATACCAGCCCTCTGAGATCTTGCAAATATCTGCCATTTCTATTATAAATTCAGATGGGTATTGAATAGAGCATACGCTCTATTGATGACTAATCAACACCATCATCTTTATGATTTTACCACATTGTTACCTTATTTTTGCCTCGTATATATAACTGAAAAGTGAAAATAGCCGAGTCATGACTTTGGTAAATCTTTTAATTAAATAACTTGAGATGCTACAGGTTATGCTGTTAAGGCAATTTTAATTATGTTTCATTATCTCAGATATTTCATTACCCTACAGATCACAGATTAAAAAAGAACTGAATTTATAGTTAGCTCACAAGAAAACATAATGTATAAAGTGCCAAATACGTTGATACTCAGCTGTAAAATTCTCTTTGAAGTAGAAATGCTAAAATATTTATTCTTATTAAAAACTTTCTTACGATGGCATGAAATGTACAGTAAGTGGAAGAATAGCCTTTTCAGGGAAACAAAGGATATTTATTACCCAGTTTCACCAAGAGGATATATGGAGATATCAACACAAAGAAATCACTTTGCAAAAAGAAGTCATGATAATAACTGTCAGCTTATTTTTTGTTTAGTGCTCCAAAAAGTAGAAATGAGCAAAAACAGTAACTAGGTTTAAGATTTTGAGCTCCATATCATGTGATATTTGGGGAAATTACATTTCTTCAGATACATTTGTGTGTGGTTTTATTTCTTTTACTAAGTCGTACATTATAAATTATCCTTTGCATTATATAGCAGTTATTGTTAATACCACTGGTAAAAGATGTTTGCTCAAGGCACCAATTATTGCACTGTTTCTCTTTAAATTTGTTTTCATTTTAAGCCCCAGCACAAATTTGCCAGCTCTATGTACAAAAGATTCTTTCTGCTTAATTATTTCAAATTGTGTTATGTCAGCCTTTAATTGAGCAAGTTAGTTGGACATTTCTTTAGAGCATCAGACAATACCTCTTACCCAGATAATGAACAAACACATCCATTCATTGATTGGCTCACTCATTCTTTCCTTTGTTCCTTATTTTTAAAATTCCATCTATCATGATTGTGCATGCTCAGCTGCTTCAGTCATGTCTGACTCTTGGTGACCCAAGAGACTGTGGCCCGCCAGGCTCCTCTGTCTTTAGGATTCTTCAGACAAGAATACGGGAGTGGATTGCCGTGCTCTCCTCCAGGGCATCTTCTTGATCCAGAAAATGAATCCCTGTCTCTTATGTCTCCTGCTTTGGCAAGCGGGTTCTTCACCACTAGTGCCACCTGGGAAGTTCCATCTGTCATGATTATGTGTCAGAAAGAAATTATGGCATGGTTCTATCTAGGTGTAATGTGCTTTGAATTCTCTTTAGATGAGAGATACCTTTGAGAGGCAAAGAATAATTTTATATGTGTTTATGTAATAGACTCCTACTGAAACAGTTCTACTATTAATATTTTATTTCCCTCATAAAATATCAGGCCTTACTTCAGACTCACGATGTAGTGGCTCATGAAGTTTACAGTGATGAAGCGTTGAGGGTTACACCTCCTCCCACTTCTCCCTATTTAAATGGTGATTCTCCAGAAAGCGCAAACGGAGACATGGATATGGAGAACGTGACCAGAGTTCGCCTGGTCCAGTTCCAAAAGAACACAGATGAACCAATGGTAAGTGGGGGGAAAAAAATCTCCTGTATTCTCATAAAATCCCAGCATGAGTTCGAGCAGCTACCTTCAACCTATACTAGTAGAGGTGGGGAAGAAAGGAGGGTGCAGAGAATTTTCAAGAAATCAGTTTCCAGATCCTCATTTCAAGGCCACCACCATACCCCCGCCCCCACTACCCCCACCTAAAATTGTCCTGCCTGACACCGTGCCTAAGGTGTGTTGGCTTTCCTTCCCAGCTCTCCTTACACAGTTGCTCTTCAACATCAACAAAAAAAGGGCAGACCTGATATATTAGTCTAGCATGTAAAGACCTCTGGGACAGCAGAGAAAGGGTCCAGTGTGAAATACTGGAATTGGTGTTGAGAAGGTGAACGTCTCAAATTCCTTTTACAAGTCGAGTGGTGTCCAGATCTTTTGCCTTCAACAAAATTAGAGGAAGACTAATTGGGAAGACATTCAAAGAATTGAGTGCCATTGTTAAAGTTCCTTCCATTCACACCTACCTGTTTAGTATGAATTCACCTTCTCAGTTCTTAAGTGTAGCATTGGAATAGAACTGATGCTGAACCCTGCTTCATCCTCATAGAATTTACATAGACTGGGAAGATCAAGGAAAGACTCCTTGATGTTAACTGCACAGAGGGGGCAGTGAGAGGGGAGACCATCCAGCCAAACCAAGTAGCATATGCAGAAACTTGCTAGTGAAAAGGCTGTTAGCCCAGTTTCAAAATGGAAAGGCGGCACCACAGCTAGACTGTAGAAAACAAGATGTGTGTCAGGAAGAGGACCTCATAAGTATTGATTTTGTTATCTATTTTAAAAACAGCGACTATTAAAGAGTTTTAAGCGGGAGATAAAATCAGATTTTCATTTTAGAAATAAGCACTCTGGAAGATGGATTAGAGGGGGACAAGAGTGGCGAGGGGGAGACCAGTTAAGAGACTGTAACTGCAGTAATACATGGGAGAGATGATGAAGCTCTGAACTAGAGGGATGGATGTCGAGTGGAAAGAAGGGAATAGATTCAATAAAAGAGTAATTCAGGAGACCTTGAGAATGGATTGACAATGGGGACTGAGGCAGAAGCAAGTGTCTAAAATGACCCTAAGCTTTAGGTTTTTCACAGCCAGATGAACAGTGATGCTACCCACTGAGACAGGGAGTATTGGGGAAGTTCCAGTTTTTAGGAGGAATGATTTCTTTAGGAAAACATTCAAATGTATGTATTCCTATCTGCTCCTCAGAACATAGAAAAGGGATACTGGGATATAGGAAAACCGATTACTTAGGAAAGTTGCCCAGTTGCTTTCCAGGTTAAAGGAAGAATTACAGAGCAGTGATCCTATGATGGCAATTTCCAGAAAGCCCTCAACCCTAGACATTCAGGTTGTAATTCTCACTTATTGTTCTTTGCCGGTTAGACTGTATTATCTCAGTACTTACAGCAGACAGGGGACATGCAAGTCACCTCACCCCTCTGGTGCTCGCCAAGCAACTCTTTGACTTAAGAGCCCAGGCAGTAGCAGCTTTGGGTCCCTCAGGCAAATCACTTTGTGTCTGTGGAGGCCTCATTTTGCTCATACTTTTCTTAGCAAGTATGACCAAAAGTGTGCTTGATTTCTACCTACCCAGATCCTACCCAGCTCTGAAAGTCTAACACTCCCCTCATTCATTTCATATATTCGTTCACTCATTTAGCAAATGTTTTTAAGTACCTACTATGTGCAGAAAAGACCCTGGTGCTGGGAAAGATTGAGGGCAGGAGGAGAAGGGGGTGGCAGAGAGTGAGATGATTGGATGGCATCATCGATTCAATGGACATGAGTCTGAGCAAACTCTGGGAGATAGTGAAGGACAGGCAAGCCTGGTATGCTGCAGTCCATGGGGTTGCGAAGAATCAGAGAAGACAGCAGCTGAACAACAAAAATGTGCAGATGACTGCATGCTAGTGACGTAGTGGCAGACAAGACATTGCCCCTTCCTGGAGCTCAGTTTCCATAGGGCTACCTACTTTTTTTTTGGCCACTCTGTGCAGCATGCAGGCTGTTAGTTCCCCAGCCAGGGATAGAACCTGCCCCCCCTACACAGGAGGCACAGAGACTTAACCACTGGACCACCAGAAAGTCCCAGGGCTCCCTACATTAAACAAGTAGATATGTACTTTAGCACAGTTTGTTTAACAGGTGTGATTATGACAGAACTATAGGGAAGGAAAGGCTGTGTCAGAGAAGCAGGAGAAGGGGTGATGTTCAGCCAATTAGAGTAGATAAGAAAGTGGAAGGGACCACAAGAAGGAGGCCCAGGGATTTCCCTGGTGGTCCAGTGGTTAAGTCTTTGCCTTCTAATAGAAAGGGTGCAGGTTCGATCCCTGGTCTGGGAGCTGGGATCCCACATGCCTCATGGCCAAAAAAACCAAAACAAAACAAGAGTATTGTAATGGATTCAATAAAGACTTTAAAAAAAGAAGGAGGAGGAGGAGGCCCAGAAGTGTCTTGTGATCGTCATGTTCTAAAGCAATCCAGTGACAGTTGCTTGATGTTCTATATAAAGGTTAACTACATTAGAAACATAGACTGAGTAAAAGCATAAATCTGTACCCCTGAGTTACATTTTTCCGCACGCATAAAATAGCCTTGAGTCTTCCCCAAAAGTCTCCTTAAAGAAGCCCTTCTCTCTTCCATCTTCTGTGATCCTAGTGAAGGTGTGTAGTTCTTCTCCCTTTAACTGGTTGCCATAAAAATGGAAATTATTTTATCTGAAATATATTTTCAGGAATATAGTTTTCTATAGTTTTACATTTAACACAACTTCATTTGCTTATTTGTCCTGTTAAAAAACATAGTATCATGCAGCATATACTTGGATGATTTCTTTTGCTTTTTGGACCTTCTAAAATATATCCAACTATGTATGCTAGGTCCATCCCCCAAAGGTGATATATTCACATTACACCCTTGTTTTCCCATTTTTAACATCACACTTTTAATTATTTCGCTATTGACTGGGAAACTCCCATAGTTGCACATGTTAAACACTGAACTTCAAATAGCATAGACAGTTGGGAAGAGGCTTATGTAAACAAGGAAAAGCCAGGAGTTTATAGCAAGCTGGGCTAGGTTCAGCAGTAGCTGGGCCAAGCCTTTCCCTGGAATTTGGGAACTTGTGAACAGAGAAAACATGAGTCAGTTCTTCTCTGCAGAGAAACGTTTGAAGCAGACAAAATAATAAATATTAACTTCGGTTGATTTGAGGTGAACTTTCCCTGGCCATGAGAGGAGACAATGGGGCTGCAAAGAGTCAGAGATGACTGAGCAGCTGAACAACGATGTGCAGGTGACTGCACTGCATGCCAAATATGTAGTGGCAGACAAGACATTGCCCCTTCCTGAAGCTCAGTTTTCATAGGGCTGCCTACTTTTTTTTTGGTCTGTCTATCTCATTCACTTCCATGCCTAGCAGAGTATCTGCCATATAACAGGTTCACAGTAATATTGGTTGAATGAATATGCTAATTTGGTAATTTCAAGAATGGAACCCTCATTGTACTATCATTTCCCTTATGAAATTAGATTTGACTTACACATTAATTTACAGCATTTTTCCAGGAGCACCTCTCTTGGTAACCATATGTGCTGATTGAATGTACAAGTTGGAAATGAAACTTGAGCAGTACAGTTGAATGTGGGACTAGAAACATTTGGGAAACCAGTTTCTTTTTAATTGCTTGCTTACCACTTCTAAGAACCACAAAATAGAAACTGTGCAAAGTTATATGTTGTAGAATTGTACAAATTCAGGCAGGGTCTAGATTATAAAGTCTCAAATATTTTCATGAAACTTTCTAACAGAGTGTTATTTTCCAGTGAAGAAGATAAGACAGAGTCCTGATACCCCCAATCATCTCAAATTCAAGACCAGTTTTCACTGAGGGAGCTTGTTAAAAATATAGATCTGGGCCCTATTCCAGACTAATCCAAAGAGTGAAATTAAAAACCAGTATTATCTAAAAGGTCTCCATGTGATTCTTCGAATCAACCAAGTCTAGTACAAAGATATGTTTATGAAAGCTTGTCTTATAATGGTGAATAACTGGAAAGTAAGAGTTGTAATCAGACTTCCCCAGTGGTCCAGTGGTTGGGAATCTGCCTGCCAATGCAGGGGACATGGGTTTGATCCCTAATCCAAGAAGATTCCACACGCCATGGGGCAACTAAGTCCATGCACCCCAACTACTGAGCCCGCACTCGAGAGCCTGCGAGCCGCAACTACTGAAGCCCTGCTCTATAAAGCCCGTACTCCACAACAAGAGAAGCCACCACAGCAAGAAGCCCACACACCACATCTAAAGAATAATCCCCACTCACCACAACTAGAGAAAGCCTGCATGTAGCAATGAAGACCCAGCACAGCCAATAAATAAATAAATATTTTTTAAAAAGACCAGTCCAGAAGGCTTGTAATTAAAGACAAAAAGTTGTAATCTATTCCATAGAATAGTATTCTGGCATTAAGTATACAGAAGTTCCACTTCTGAAAAAGATGGAGTAGCAGGGAACAGATTTGCCTTCTCACCTGAAACAACAACAACAACATAAAAGAACACACACAACAATGAAAGAACTGTTTTCAAGATATTGGGCATTTGGCAGCAAAGGACAGTGATCCCTAAGAAACAGGAAGCAAATAAGGTGAGCCCAGTGATTGTCCCACCTTACTGACATGAGAGAGTTTCCAGGCAACAGCATGGTGAGGGGAAACTGAGGCAGAGCAGGCAGACTCCCTGAGGACACAGAGCTGAGAGCCTGGGAAGACCAAAGCAATAACACTCATAGGACAGAGTGCTGAAGTGGAGAGAGCTACAGAGACAGAAAACTCTAGAGGGTCCCCCTCATGTATTTATCTGAATAATGATCTGCACGTTTATGACAGGAACCTACTCAGAGCCAAGGAAAGGCCATCCAAAAGGATGAGAGGGAACAGTGCGCGACCCTCACTGTCTGTTCCCACCACCCAGACTAGAAAAACCAATTCAAGGAGCATTGTGTGGAGTGCTTAGGAAGGTCTTGCCTCAGTAATGAGGAATTATTAGCCCTAGACAGAGAATTGCTCCAGACCCGCCTTAACAAATCCTGAAAGCAAGGCCCAAAGGATCACTCTTTCCAAATAACTGAACTACATCCCAGGACAAAGCTTAAGAATATAGAAATAAAAAAATAACTGACAGCAGTATTAGAATTAGCAGGAAAATTGCACTATGGGATTAATGGCAGTTTAGACATTTCAGAAGAATAAAATTAGATTAGTGAACTCAAAAGACATAGCAATAGAAACTACCCAAAACAAAACACAGAAAGAAAAAAGAACTTTGAGAAATGAAAAGAATATCACTGAGCTGTGGGACAACTTCAAGCAACCTAATATTTGGTCCATTGGAATCTATGAGGGAGAAGAGGGTGAGGAAGAAACAAAATGTTTTTGAAGAGATAATGGCTGAAAACATTCCAAATTTGATGAAAACTATAAATCTGCAGATACAAGAACCACAGTGAACCCCAAGCACAAGACACATGAAGAAAACAACACCAAGGTACATCATAATCAAGCTGTTTAGAACCTGTGATAAACAGGAAGATCTTAAAAACAGAAATAAAAAGGAAATGTTACATACAGGGGGGCAAAGATAAGAGTGATATCAGATCTCTTATGAGAAATAGTATAATCAAGAAAACAATAATTTTAAAGTACTGGGGGGAGAAAAAACCGCTCAACTTAGAATTCTAAACCCAGTATAATTATCTATCATAAAATAAAGGCAAACTATATAGAACAGTATGGAGTTTCAAAAAAAACTAAAATATAGAGCTACCATATGACCCAGCAATCCCACTCCTAGACATATACCTGGAGAAAACCATAATTTGAAAAGATGCATGCACTCCAGTGTTCATTGTAGCACTATTTACAATAGCCAAGTCATAGAAGCGACATAAATGTCCATCAACAGAGGAATGGATAAAGAAGATGTGATATACAGTGTGTGTGTGTGTGTGTGCTAGAATATTGTTGGAATTTTGAAATATTATTCAGCCACAAAAAGGAATGAAATGATGCCATTTGCAGAGATGTGGACGGACCTAGAGATTGTCATACAGAGTGAAGTCAGATACTATACAAATATAGTATCACTTATATGTGGAGTCTAGAAAAATGGTAGAGATGAACTTACTGGCAGAGCAGAAACAGGGTCACAGATGTAGAGAACAAACTTATGGTTACCAAGGGGGAGAGCAGGATGAATTGGGAAATTGGAACTGACATATGTACATTAATATGTATTAAATAATTAATGAGAACCTACCATTTAGCACAAGGAACTCTACTTGATGCTCTGTGGTGACCTAAATAGGAAGGAGATCTTAAAAAGAGTGGATATATGTATGTGATATGCATATTATATATATGTATATATATATACATGATTCACTTTGCTGTACAGCAAGGAACTAACACAACATTGTAAAGCAACTATACTCCAATAAAAATTAATTTAAAAGATAAAATAGTATTTTAAAAAACACTAATTTAAGAAAAGCAAAATAAAGACATTTTCAGACTTACCAAAACAAAAAGAATTCAATAGACTTACAGTGTAATAAATGTTAAAGGATATCCTTATCATTTAAATCTCTCTGGAAGGTAAATGGAAGTCTAAACAAAAATAGTAGCAATGTGTTTGGGATTTTTTAACATGTAAAAGTAAAATATATAACAGCACAAAAGTCAGGAGGAAGGAAGTGGAAGTATACTGTTGTAAGATTCTTATAATACATTTCACATGGCATAATATCACTTGAAGGTAGACTGATAAGTTAAAGATGTATGCTATAAACCCTAAAGCAACCACTAAAACAACAAAACAATTATAGCTAATAAAACAGGAGGGGAAAATAGAATGAAAATAAATAAACTAACCCAAAAGAATACAGACAAGGGGAGTATAGGAGAGATGGGACAAATAGAAATCAAATAGCAAGAAGATATGTTCATCAGTAATTGGTAATCATATTAAATATAAATTGTCTAAATTCTCCCAAATTAAAAAGTAGAGATTGTCAGATTGGGGTATAGGAGGGAAGCAAGACCAAATTATATATTGCCCACAAGAAATGCTTTATAAATAAAAACAAATCATTTTAAAGGAAAAGACTAGAAAAAGATACACTATGATGACATTAATCAGAAGGAAGCTGGAATGACTATATTAATATCAAAGTATATTCTCAGGCCACAATGGAATTAAATTAGAAATGAATAACAGAAAGATGTCAGGAGAAATCCCCAAGCACTTGAAAACTAAATTATACAATTCCAAATAACCCATGGATGAAAGAAGAAATCAAAAGAGAAATTTTAAAGTATTTTGAAGTGAATGAAAATGAAATCACAACATACCAGAACTTGTGGAATACTGCTAAAACAGTACTTAGGGAGAAAAGTGTAGCACTAAATACCAGTCTTTAAAAAAAAGAAATATCTTAAAACAATGACCTCAGCTTCTACCTTAAGAAACTAGAACCAAAAAAAAAGAGCAAATTAAACCCAAAGTGAGTAAAAGAAAAAAAATAATAAAGATCAAAGTGGAAATCAATGAAATAGAAAGTGAAACAATAAAAAAATCAATAAAACAAGCTTTTCCGTTGACAAGATCAGATCAATCAGGTGTGGGGGTGAAGACACTAATTACCAGTATCATGCATAAGAGAAGTGACATTACTACAGATCCTACAGATATAAAAAGAATAATAAGGAAATATGGTAAACAACTTTATGTCAATAAATTCAACAACCTAAATTAAATAGACACATTTTTTGGGAGACAAACTACCAAAACTCACTTTGGAATAAACTGAATTGCCCTATACTATTTAAAAATTGAAGTTAGTTTTTTAAAAAATCCCTCAAAGAAAACTCCAGGCCAAAATGGCTTTACTGGTAAATTCTACCAAATATTTAATAAAGAAACAGTACCAATTGTACACAGACCCCTCCCAAAACATTGAAAAGGAAAGAATTCTTCTCAACTTACTATTTTTGATGAAAAGGAGGAGAAAGAGGTATAATAGCTACTAGCATTACCCTGATACCAAAACCAGACATTTTGCAAGTAAAGAAAACTACAGACCAGTAACCCTTCTGTATTTAGATGCACAAATTCTAGACAAATCCATACCTCAAAAAAGAAAAATACATCATGACCAAGTGGAGAATTAGCAACATGGAAAATACTTATAAGATTAAAAAGCATTATATAAAATATATGAACGCTTTAAAAAGTATAAAAAATTTTAAAAATTAAAAAACAAAGAAAAAAAGAAATAAAAAAATTTTAAAAAGATTTTAAAATAGATAAAAAAGAACAAAAAAAGCTAAAAAAGATTTTTTTTAAATATATATGTATGCTATTGTTAGAGTAACCAAAATATCAAAATTAATATTTCTGTCATGGCATAGTGGAGTTTTCTCCTCCATTTTCCATATTTTCTTTAATGTTTTCCTACTTTTGTAGTTAAGGTTATCTACAGCATGATCACAGATATAAAAAGAATGCCCTCTCATAGTAATTCTGTTTTTGCTTAACTTTTTACAGGGAATCACTTTAAAAATGAATGAACTAAATCACTGTATTGTTGCAAGAATCATGCATGGGGGCATGATTCACAGGCAAGGTAAGTTTCATATATAATTCTTTCTTTCCTACCTTAGATTTTTTTTTCATATAGTATAGTGTTTTATGATCCATATAAAAAATGGCGGGAAGGGGGATCAGGATGGGGAACACATGTAAATCCATGGCTGATTCATGTCAATGTATGGCAAAAACCACTACAATATTGTAAAGTAATTAGCCTCCAACTAATAAAAATAAATGAATAAAATAAATAAATTATGTGATGAATATGAAAAAAAATCAGTTTGATTGATGGTTTATATAAATGATTTATCTGTCTTTGGTTTTAATCACTGTTGGCCTCCACTCACTTGTATTCATTTCCACATGCTTCAGTTATACTATACAGTTCTGTTGCTGGAGCATCTCTGAGTTACTCTTTAGATCCTGACTTATTAGAGGCCATGGGAGATGAACTGAAGTATCATATGGGTCCCAGGATATATGGAAGACATCTACCATGGGATATAAGATATATGTATATATACTTGCAAAGTTAAATGACAGTTGACTACTCTAATTCATTCGGGAATGTGATATACTATTTATAAATTAGGAAATTAGAGTTTGATAAATAATATAATATTTCAGTGATAAAATAAGAAAGATCAAATCTGTGATTAAGTTCTTAACACCTGCTACAGTAAATGCAGTTGAGAAGGGAATTCACTAAGGACTGAAGTAGACAAAAAATGATTTTTTGAGAAAGTGGAACTACTGTTAACTCTCCAATGGATAAGATTTGGACATGTAGGTTTACGTTCCTCTTTGAAGCAACTGTATTATATGCATTAGTATTTAGAGCCTGATCCAAAAGTGATTCTCCTGTCCAAAAATTAGACTTCCTTTCTTTGAGATAGTGTTGTACATGTGCTTAACACCTCTTTCCTTCACCCTGGAGAGCAAGAGGTAACACCATCAGCCTTTTAGTGCCTTCTTGTCCTCTTTAGAGATGACTGCTTATGTACACAGATGCCCAGCATTTTTATTCTGTCCTATTTTAAATCCACAAATTTGAAATTATCTTAAAATACATGACCATTGTTGTTTGAATTTACATAAATGTTTATGGTTTTATTTGTTCATTATTCCTTTTGCATTGCAGACCATCCTTTGGTGAGCATTTTTCGTTCTTCCTAAACTATATCCTTTATAGTTCCTTTAGTGATAGTCTGTTGATAAACTCCCTCAGGTGGTGTTATCTGTAAATATTTCATTTCCACCTCAATCTTGATTACTTTTGCTGAGAGCACAATTTTAGGTTAATGGTTACCATTCCATTTTTCTTTTGGCATCTGTTGTTTGATCTTGAGAAGTCTGGTGTCACTACAATTGTCCTTGCTTTGTAGGTGATCTCTCCTTTCCCCCTGGACTTTTTAAGCTCTTTGTCTTCGATGTTCTGTAGTTTTACCACCTCCTGGCATGGATTTCTTTTTATTTATCCTATTTGGGATACATTATTCTTCCTGGAGCTGTGTGATCATAATTGCATCATTCAAGAAAATTTGAAACCAATTCCTTTTTTTTTTTCCATTTATTTTTATTCGTTGGAGGCTAATTATTTTATAATATTGTAGTGGTTTTTGCCATACATTGACATGAATCAGCCATGGATTTACATGTGTTCCCCATCCCGATCCCCCCTCCCACCTCCCTCTCCATCCCATCCATCTGGGTCTTAAGGAAGCTGTGGTACATATACACTATGGAATATTACTCAGCCATTAAAAAGAATTCATTTGAATCAGTTCTAATGAGATGGATGAAACTGGAACCCGTTATCCAGAGTGAAGTAAGCCAGAAAGATAAAGACCAATACAGTATACTAATGCATATATATGGAACTTAAAAAGATGGTAACGATAACCCTATATGCAAAACAGAAAAAGAGACACAGATGTATAGAACAGACTTTTAGACTCTGTGGGAGAAGGCAAGGGTAGGATGTTCAGAGAGAACAGCATTGAAACAAGGATACTATCAAGGGTGAAACAGATCACCAGCCCAGGTTGAAACCATATTTCTTAAAATATTGCCTCTTCATTCTTTCCATCATCTCCTTCTGAACTCTAGGTAGATGTGTTTTAGACATTCCCTCCATATCTCTTAATATCTTTTTCATGCTTTATTTCTTGTTTCCCATCTTCCTTATCTCCTTATTTCTCTGGCCTGCATTCTAGTTAATTTATTTGGTTATGTCTTCCAATTAGCTGAAACTCTTCAGCCATATCTGAACTCCTGTTCAACTCATCCATTCACTGACTTATGCTACTGATTATATTTTTCCTTTCTAGAAGTACTAGTCACTTGTTCTTATTCTTATTTTCAGATCTGTCTGTTCACATCTGATGTCTTGTTGCATGCTCATCCTTGCAAAAAAGGTCCCTTTTCTTTAGCATATAGCTATTTTATACAGGCATGCCTTAGAGATATTACAGACTTGGTTTCAGACCACTGCAATAAAATGAGTCACATGAATTTTTTTGTTTCCCAGTGCACATAAAAGTTATGTTTGTACTATGCTATCATCTATTAAGTGTACAGTAGCATTATGTCTTTTAAAATGTATATAATTTAAAATTACTTTATTACTAAAAAATGCCAACCATCATCTAAGCCTCAGCAAATCATATTCTTTGCTCCTGGTGGAGGGTATCGTCTAGATGTTGATGGCTGCTAATTGGTTAGGGTGGTGGTTGCTGAAGGCTGAGGTGGCTGTGGCAGTTTCTTAAAATAAGACAACAATGAAGTTTGCCTCATTGATCACTCTGCCTTTCACAAATGGTTTCTTTGTAGCATGCACTGCTGCTTGATAGCATTTTACCCATGGTAGAACCTCATTCAAAACAGGAGTAAATCCTCTCAAACCCTGCCACTGCTTTATTAACTAAGTTTATGTAATATTCTAACTCCTTTGGTGCAGTTTCGTTTGCCATCTTATATAAGTGTGGTTCATAACACCCCCAAAACAGCAGAGATCACTCATCACAGATCACCATAACAAATATAATAATGATGAAAAAGTTTGAAATATTGTGAGAATTATCAAACTGTGATACAGAGACAGGAAGTGAGCAAACGCTGTTGGGAAAATGGCGCAGACAGACTTGCTCAACACAGGGTTGCCACAAACCTTCAATCTATAAAAAATGTGGTTATCTTTGAGGCACAGTAAAGCAAAGCACAAGAAAATTAGGTATTCCTGTAGTCTATATCTGACCATTCCAGCATCTATCCTCCTTGAGGATCTAAATCTATTTCTTCTCTTTCTGATGACTCACATAATAGTTTGCCTTATTGTATGTTTGGTGATCTTTGATTATAAGCTTATTGCTTGCTCAAATTAGTAGAAGTCCTGGGAGCCTAAACTGGGAATACTTTCCTCCAAAAATGGTCTGTTCTGTGTTTTACCAGCTGCCACAGAGTGCCACTGTACTGGGTCTTGGCTCCCTGCAGAATCCTGGGCTTAGCTTCTCTAACTCGCTATTGGCCCAAGACTCAGAAGGCAGCCAGCAGACAGTGCAGCAATGGCATCTACCCCTCCCACTGGTTTCATTCCATCTTGATTTTGCCACCACTCTGGATCCAGCTCACTGGGTTCTTATCTGTGGACGGGAGGGTGGAGATGGAAATGGGAAGTATTCTTGGGGATTCACATTTATTTTTTGAGACCAGTAACACTTTAAGGGGTGAGCCCTACACGGGATATAGTTGTAAGAGAGTCTCTGAGTGCCTAATACACCATATTGAAGACAAAAGTCCCCAAATTTTTGTTTTATGTTTTATTATGTTAACTTTCAAACATGGTTAGAGAGAACAGTGCAGTGAGTTCAAGTAGAGAAAAGTGGAAAGAATAGTGCAATGATCACCTACGTACCCATAACCCAGGTAGAATTATTGTTGATTCATGACCATACTGATTTCACCTGTATTTGCCCTACTGCCCCTGGATTACTTTGAAGCAAATACAAGGCTCTTTATTTATCTGCATTTTAGTGTGTATGTCTTAAAGATACCATGAGCTTTTCATAATGAAGTCAGGTCAATAACTAAACATGTGAGCAATTCATAAATAAAGCAAAAATTTACATAACACTATTTAACCATTGTTTCTCACTTTTTCGAGTTGAAGTGTGACAGAACCCTGAAATGCCTGCCTACCAAATTTTTATTAAAAAGTTGCAGTATGTCTAATATAAATTTATTGATATATAGATATTATCACCACAATTCTTTGAAAAATCAACAACCTCTGTAACCATATTTGGTAGATAATAATGATGATAACAGCAAATACTTAAATGGCACTATGCACCAAGAACAGTTCTAAGTCCTCTGCATCTATTAAACTCATTTAATCCTTACAACAATCCTATGAGATAGATACTATTTTCATCTCCATTTTATAAATATGAGTTTTCAGGGAAATTTTCAGTAAGTTACCCAAGATCTTGAAGCTAGTACATGATGAAGCAGAGATATGAACCCAGACAGGCCACATCTGGAAGTCATGGTTTTAAACAGCTATATACATAAGGACTCTCTCAGAAAAACAAGCAGGTTTTTACAGTCATCTTTCAAAACTGTCCTCCATTAGTTAGGTGTATCTGTTTTGGCGAGTTTACTATATGAGCCTAACTCATACCTGGTTCTGGAATATTAGCCTTCAGTATTTAGCTTAATTTTTAAAAATTACTTACCTTGCTGACTTTGGATTTTATTATTATAAAAGTATATATCATTTCATGTTTATAATTTTGTGTAATTTCTTAGGTACACTTCATGTCGGAGATGAAATTCGAGAAATCAATGGCATCAGTGTAGCCAACCAAACAGTGGAACAGCTGCAAAAAATGCTTGTGAGTAAATGAAAGTTTCTTTTCCTGAAATCGACTTTCAGTTCATTAACTTGTTTATTAAATAAGGTTGGTTTTTTTTTGTAATCTGGTACCATCATCTGTGTGGACTTGTGCAACATTCATAGAAACTGAGAACTAGAAAAATGTTTACATGCAGCAGAGCTTAGAAACACTTTGCCCATTTTCAGCAGTATGGGCTTGAACATTCTCCTTTCAGTCCTTTGTCTCCTGGTTCTTAGTGAGAAGATGTTTAAAGAAAACCTTTGCAGTTGTGCATACTTGTGAATTAGTTTCTCACTGACCTCAACTCTGCTGACATCAGCAGTGTCAGAAGTCTCTTTCCTGTGTAGCTGAGTCATAGCCAGCTATATGGGATTTCTCTATAGAGCAGGGGAAAGGAAAGTCATGGTAGACCAGGCCATATTTTACCATATATACCCAAAATTGGTGTTCAAATTAGGCTTTGGATTGGGGCAGGCTAGGGGCTGCAGAATGACAGGTCCTGGCGAGCAGAGGGAGATGTTTAGACCTCTGGTCCTGCACCTTCTTCCCACCACAGTGTAGCAGCCTCCTGAGCTATTTATATCTACTGAAGGTACAGTAAACACCACAGAGTCACTGACAGTCAAAACTAAGGCATAAATTATGAAATAAAAAGCAGATTTTATGGAGTACACCATCATCATGTAGCCTCCCAAATATAATTCTTACATAATTATGTGTTCTGTAGTCCATTTCAACTTGTATTCACTTTCAGAAGGCATGTCACTTAGAGTTGTCTCCGCATCTATGAAAAGATCACCATCAGAGGTCTGTTGCACCATTGCTGTGTGAACAGGGCAGTCGGCCTTGACTGCAGGGCTGTTCCCAGGAACAGCCTCCTTTGTTACTGTGAGCAGTTCCTGCTTTTGTAACTCAGTTTCGTTTTTAGGCCCCTGCACTCTCGGCTGGCTTGCACTGAATACCCCCAAAATGTTTTCAGTGGTTTCTTACGTGGTGTTGTGTGCAACATTTGTTTGTTCAAAGAGCTCTCCTTTCTGTTTCCTCTAGCGGGAAATGCGGGGGAGTATCACCTTCAAGATCGTGCCAAGTTACCGCACTCAGTCATCGTCCTGTGAGGTAATAGCTCTAACAAAACACCCCATCTCCTCTGGGTTCTTAACTAACTGTCTGCTGATGGCTGAATGTTTTGGCTTCTTCTGGGAAATTGTTTCTGCCTGTGCTGTTGATCACTGCACACCAATTTTACAACAAAGATAACGGAACAGAGTAGGTCCCACCCACCTACTCATCCCTCTTCCATGGGGTTCTCCTCAGCACCTGAACTTCCTGCAGGCTGGAAGCGAAGCAAAATACATAGAGAGAAGTGCCAAATAATGACAGAGGTTTAATAAAGAATGAGTCTCTGGGGGAAGATGAAAGATCATAATTGCAATAATTTTTCCAGGAAGTATATATTCACTTCCCTTGTTAAGAAATCACATTAGATAGTTCTTCTTTCCAAGAATCTGAAAATGGTCTATTTCTTGTTAAGATAGAGTTATTCAAATAATTCTGACAGGTCTCTAGATGGATTTTAAGCCTATGAGGAATTGATAACTGGTGTTACTAGCAGAATAGAGGTTTTTGCAACGTTCTGTGAAATTGTTTAAATTGGAATGCTGACTTGGAAACAAGTAAGTGTTCTAAAGTAATACAAACCCCAAGTTCCTTTCTTACAGTAGGCTTATCCTTGAGAAACTGTAGCTTTCCCAACCTATATTATTCAGTTTGCTATTGGCTAGCAAGTGAGACTCAAAAATCATTCTTTTTATATTTGGAAATATGAACCAACCTAAGTGAGGGCATCCTTTGGTCATTGCACCTTCAGTTTGAATATTTTTTTCTGAAGCTTGCACTTTCATGTGCACCTTCCAAGTATGTGTAACGTCAGTATGAAGTACACATTTCCTCCAGTGAATGTTTAAGACTGGCTGGCAACTCATTGGAACTCATCTAGAAAATTGAATTTGTACTTAGGAGAAGTTGAGGGAGAAATTATGTTTCTTCCTGTCTCTAGTAGTGATGTAAATTTCACAAGAAAAATCAGAGGCTTCCTGTTTTTCCTAAACCTATTGAAGATATGTATAAGAATTTGTAGTTTCGTCAAGTATATTTTTAGTGAGCCATGACAAGTGGGGTTTCTGTTATATCAAGTCTTGAGCTCCTCTTGGTGGCTTTTTATGGAACTTCAGTTATATTTCAAAACAAAAGACAGAACTGCTTCTGTTCCAGGATTCATAGTTTTGAAATTTGTTACCTAGTACACAAACCTTGCTGGAAAAGAAAAACTGTCACATGCATCTTTTATGTCAAGCATTCTGATATTCTAAAAATCATAAGTGGTCCTCATACCATTTCACATCTTGGAAGAAATTTAGTAAATGCGATTGGTTTTTGTCTTTGTGGCTCACTAGCCAGAAGATAGTGTTCATTATTAATATAAGTTTCTCTTGTGTTTTTGAGTGGTTGAACTGGTTTTGAGGTGGGACCAGTAGAACACATATTAAATGCTATGCTCTTAAGTAAAAAGAGCCCCCTCTTACCTTCTCAACCTCTGAATAGTAGGAATAAAGGTACCTCCCCCACCAGTCTCTTTGACTCTCCTGTCCTCTGGCAGAGTTCAAGCCTGTGGTTGAATTCTTCCCAGCTACAACAGTACTTCCTAAAGAAAGGCTCTCTGGCTACCTACCTCAGCATCACCCTGGCCATTGGTAAAAGTGGGGACCCCCACCCCACGCTCTGGCCCTACTGACATAAGTCTCTGGGGGTGGCACCTAGACATTCTGCTCACTAACATCTGAGAGTCCTCATCTAAGGGATCCCATTATTTAAAAGCCAACAGGTTCCAGAAGTTTTCTTTAAGTCTTCTAGAAAAAGCAAATGTCTTTTGAGCGGACCTGCACATTTCAAAGATTTCCAAGAACTCAACTAAAATTTTAAATACTTTCATCCTCTCCTTGTTTTAACATTGTAGTTGATTTGGACAACAAGGGAGTGGAGCCTGGAAAGGATTTTGAATGTGTCATATAGTATAGTTGGCTGTGGCTGCTGGAATCTTTGCCAGAAGTGTAATATTTGTAGAGGCTCAAGATTATTGTTTTAATTAATCTGCTAAAATATTCTTAAAAAATAAAGGTTCCTTCTCTGGTCTATAACTATCTTTTACCCTTATTAGTAATATCTAGCCTAGAAAGATTCTAAGGTGATTGCAACATAAGAAGTCTTTTTTTGAGGTTCACTTCACTTCCCTGGTGGTTCAGACGGTAAAGCGTCTGTCTACAATGCGGGAGACCTGGGTTCGATCCCTGAGTTGGGAAGATTCCCTGGAGAAGGAAATGGCAACCCACTCCAGCACTCTTGCCTAGAAAATCCCATGGACGGAGGAGCTTGGTGCAGGTACTGTCCATAGGGTCGCAAAGAGTCAGGCATGACTGAGCGACTTCACTTCGCTTCAAATTGTGTCATTCAGTAATTTTTGATATTGAGGTACCTAAAGATTATTAAATACTTTTAAAACCTAATTTTCAATTTAAAAAGATATGCAATTGGGATCTTGAGCACAATGTTATAGTAATCTTTGTCACTTTACAGTAGTTGATAGGATTTTAATATCAAGTCACCCTTCGGGTTCTCATTTTAAAAAAGCAAAGGTTATAGAATGTTAGAGACAGGAAAGAAATGACTAATGAATGACACGGTCATCACTTATAACATGTGAATCTTCAGACTGCACAAACATTTTTTCATGCTTCTCTGAAATCATGCAAGTAAGTCAGTATGGCACCTTTACAGCTAAAACCTCAAAGGAAATGGTTGTCAGACTGTGGTTGTAACTGTTGATGTGAATATCTCTTGTTTCTGTGCTGGTGTTCTGTGTTAATGAACCTTGTGTCTTATTTCAGAGAGATTCCCCCTCCACTTCCAGACAGTCCCCAGCTAATGGTCATAGCAGCACTAACAATTCTGTTTCGGTAAGAACTCTAGCTCCACACAGCAAAGTGTGACAATTTTGTTGGTGCCACCTGCCATGAGTGTTCTAGTTACATGTGTTCAGTGGAAATATTGTCTTCTGCCGATATACAAGGCTACTACAGCTACAATGCAGTTTACTCCTGGAAAATCTTGTTCTTCTCATTGAAAATACCTTTCATTAGTTAAATTTGAAGAAATGTAGTTCAAGACTGCTTTGGTCATTCTCAAAATATTTCTGTGTCACCCAGCTACTGTCTATGACTTTGCTCAAAGTTATGCAGAGGATGTAAATGGAAATTTGTTGAAATTTCTCAACTTTTTTTTTCACTTGAGAAAGATAAAGAAATGTAAGAATTTTGCAGAGTAGGAATTTGGGTATTCTCGGGCTTTGTAGTTGTCTATTCTGAGTGATATCAGCAACATGTTTAGTTTCCGCTATCTAAGTTTACGAATTGGTGTGCCCTCTGTTATTGTGGTACGTGCACATACTTCTGTGAATTATAAGCCTTGCCTGGATATGAAAAGCAAAAGGAACTGGCTTCAAACTGCACTTAAGCCACGCTATTATCACATCTTTAACACAAAGTACTTTATATTTTGACTTGAACTTGGAATTTTACTTTTTTTCAGAACTATACATTTTGGAAAGTAAAAAGAATTGTTTTTAATTTACATAAGCAAATGGGAGCACTTATAGGTGCAGGTGTGTGAATTTTTGAAATAACAAAATCTCTTAAGTTGCTGATATTGCTGTTAAAAATGAGAGTTCTAATGATACAGCAGTATCACTCTTTTCCTATTAACTTGCCCTTTAAAAATATATCATTTTTATGAGGTAAATTTGTAAATAATTTGAGATAATTTATAAATAATATGAGATCACCTCAGATGGAATGATATAAGAGAAATGTTAGAAAATTTCCTGTGACTTTTATTTGCAACTTCAAAATAGGCTACCAAAGGAATTCATTTATAATAGTTAACATTTAACAACTCTAAAATGGTGAAAAATCCATACAACCATTGAATTTTTCAGAATCTTAAATGGTTGCAGTGACTAAGTCGAAAAGGGCAACAGCTCTTTTGAGTTTTGGGGGGAGGGGTTTTAAATAGGCTGTTTCACTTGCAGTGGCTTTTGTGTTGAAGATGCTGAGTTGTTTCTTAAGAACACATTTCTCTCTGCTTAAATTTACCTGCTTTCTTCAGCTTGCTGCTAAATGGCCTGGGTTTGATTTTTTTTTTGATAACTCAACATTTCTGAGAAATGGAATAATGTATATTATCTCTTTACAACTTAAATCTAGCTCATTTTTTAACCATAATGTAACAAAACACACAAATTACCTTGTACTCTTTGAAAAGTAAATGAAAATTTTTCTCCTGGGTTGGCTTTATTCTACAGGACTTGCCATCAACTACCCAACCAAAAGGACGACAGGTGAATAGATATCCTCTATAGAAACTTCTCTAAACTGAGCTGCTAATAGCCAATCCTTTATTAACCCTTTCCATCCCATAATGTCTGCATTTTGGACCATAACATTTGAGCATTGAGAGCTTGTACCATTTCATTTTAACACATTACACATGACTAATTCTCTATAAGGATTTTTTCCCTAACATCCTTGTAGCTGTGATGGTTATTGTAATTTCAACCTGATCATTTTGTGTTGATGGTTAAGAATTCAGCCTTTGGGGATCTTATGGGCCTGCCTCTGGGGTGGAAATAAATTTTTAAAGGCTGCAAAATTCTTCAAATTCTAAGAATAACTAAAATGTACATGCCAATGAACATTTTTAAGCAATAATTATCTGAAGTTTGAAGGTTTTTTCTTAATTTGTATCTGCATGTGTATTTCTAAAAGCTGTATACAATGGGAAAAAAAACAACAGAAAAATCCTGGCTTTATGTCCTAATCAAACATGAAAAGTTAAGTGCTGCCTGAGACAAGCAACTTTTATTTGCTGGCACTTTGAGTATAAATTTTAGGTGCAAATACAGAGACTTATAACTTTTATAGGCTGGATTTCTGAAAAGAAACAAACAGAATAATAGCACAATAGTTCCAAACCCTTCAGGTTGGTTTTACAGTGACTTTAATATTAATATTCAAATGTAATTTCAAGACAGAAATTTTATGGAATTTTTCTTGAAATGTGCTGTTAAAAGTAATCAAATTGGGAGTTAAGATTTGCATAAACTAGCACCTGATAGAAATCACTCAAATGATGCAATACTAAATTTCTAGCACCTTGTTTTACATTGTTTAGAAATCCAGTAATTCATAACTGTGATAACCCCTTGTATGCTAATCTGTTTCCTTTTATATTTACTAGTTACATTTACATATAATAAAACTCAGAGCCTTGAACTATCCATCTCCTGAAGCTCTGTGCAGATTTTAAGTGTTACATTGGCAAACGTAGAATTTAAATTCATTTTTCTTCTCTAAGAAGAGTAAAATGCAAATATAAAGTAGAAATGCTATTTGAAAAATAAAACTACCTTTAAATGCTTTTTTAAAATGTTTAAATTACAGTTAAGTTTATCAGCAGTGTGTAGACACACTGCCAGTTGTCTTGGAGGCATTTTATAGCACGTTCCCAACACTGAGTTCTTGCTAGTTTCGTATCGTGCTGCTTTAGGGTTAAAACCTTCCCTGAATGCTTGTGGTTATGGCTTAAAGCCTGCCACGTGATCATGACAACTTACCCATAATACCAACTACATATATGCAGATTTTTCAAACGGTAAGCGTATTTCACTATAATTTTAAGCCTATTCTGTTATAGTAAAAGCAGAAGTTAAGTCTTTATTGAACAAGTATCTTAAGTGTTCTATCCAAATAAAAAGAGCAGAGATTTGTAACTGTACACATCAAAAATAGTACATTGTTCTAGTGGTAGCAGTTTTTTGTGTTGTATTTCCATGCATCATATTTGTGTTCACCATCTAGTGTCCTGTTCGTATTGTAGTGTTAGTCTGTGGTTATTCAGTTAGAGCTGACTGTTTTCTTTCGTATCACCATGGCATTTTTTCTTACAAACTCCTGTTTTATAGATCTATGTAAGAGCACAATTTGAATATGATCCAGCTAAGGATGACCTCATCCCCTGCAAAGAAGCTGGCATTCGATTCAGAGTTGGTGACATTATCCAGATTATTAGTAAGGACGATCACAATTGGTGGCAGGGTAAACTGGAAAACTCCAAAAATGGAACGGCAGGTCTCATTCCTTCTCCAGAACTTCAGGAATGGTATGTCTGTGTTGTGTTCTTTTGGTTTCTCATATAAACGAAGCCTGGCGAGCCATTTTTCACCTTTATATTTTGCTGTTTTATAGGGTAAAACCTGTTTAATATATTCTTTGCTCTATTAGCCAAACACAATTCAAATGAGTCTGCCGAGAATTCTGTTATCAGCCCCAAATGAGCTCCTATTTATAGAGTCAGGTCTTTGTTTCACACAGAAGGAGAGTAAGGTCTACAGAGAGGCCGAGTCTGGTCATAGTCACATCGTGATCTCTTAGCAGAGCCCTGGTCGCCTGTATGCTGTTTCCAGCCTTTTAGAATTGCATTTTTTTTAAATGTACCCTCTCTTTGCCCCTCCACATGCTCTCACCAACCCCATTCCACTCCACCACCAGTGAAAAACTCAGATGCCAGGATTCACTGTCACTCCAGGTATTTAAAGTGTTTCACTATTAGAAGGGAGACAGAAGCTTCGTTCTTTACCCTGCCAGGTCTTCAAAAATGTGTGTCTGTTAGAAAGTTTAAGCTTTGAAAGCAGGTTAAAATCAGGCAATTTCAGACATGTTTTTAACTGAGAGGAGTCAGGGATTACTGTATAGTTTGGTAAAATCTATTTCTGTTATTAATGTTATAATTTTCTGGTTTTTGAAAAATGCTGATAGTTTTACCTTTGTCTGTACTTTGGCAATAAATATCAGAAATCTAGTACCAAAGAGATATCTTCAAAAGAGAGACCTCTTCATGTCCAAAATACTTATTTGAACCTAACTAAAAGAGATTAAAGGCATCAAGGTCATAGACGCATAGTTTTTTCACCCAGTTTTTTACTAATTAAAGGGATTTTTCAGTTAATCTTTTTTTTAGTTAATCTCTTTTGCTTGATCACTTCTTTCAGCTATTCCAGGGTTCCCAAAAATACTTTTAAATTTAGCACATTGGAGCTAAGAACTTCAGATGCCATCATTTTATACTAGGAAACATAGGCCCACATAAAGGAAGTAGAAGCCTTCCCTCTGATGCCGTCTTTGGGTCCAATCTTCAAAAAACAGTTTAAGTATTAGTGAGAGGACAGTGATGTCTAAGTCCTTTTGCTAGTGATTTTATTATGTTAGCACTGATATTTACATTTTACAAAATGTGTTCTTGAATGTTGCCATATATGAATGTCTCTTGAAAATATTTATGTAGATTCTAGACCTCTTCTTCCTGGTCAGATCATTTGTATAAATTATGTCTCACCAATACCTATAACTCTTAAGTCCTCTGGGGGAAGCCTGAGAAATGACAGTAGAAAAGCAGATTTGCTTCCTATTTCCTATAATGGTAGACTAGATTGTCTGGACCAATCCTCCTGGTAGAAAAAAATGAAAAGTGCTGCAGAAAATATGTTCTTGAAAATTACTTTAAATGCACTGAGTACCTGAAAAGGTATTGGGGAACTCAGTGACCAATTTTTATATGAAAGCCATTAATCAGAGTGGTAAAAATGAGAGTTCCAAATTGGTCCACTTTGCCGTGAGGGCATTTCTATTACTAAGAACTTCTCTGCCAGAGGACCAAGGTTAAGACCCAGTAAGGCTTGTATAAGTAGGAGAATCAGTTAAGAGACCCATCCCACACTGTCAGGACTGCAAAAAGCTATACCCCTAGATTAAGAGCAAACTGATAAGCATTCCCTTACTTCCCTTCCACACCAGGGGACTGTAGAGGATGCCTTGTCAGTGAGCAGAGCAAAAGGAAAATAAAGTTCCCCTGAAAACATTGTGGCTACTGGTCTACCCCAAATGAATTTGCACCCAGATACATATAGCCTGGGAAAGCCAGGGAAAGTCCAGCTATGCACTTGATGTGAGGTTTCTTATTTACTAATACTTCCATATATCTGTTACAGAAAAATGAAAGTCTCTGAAGGAGAGCACTTTTATCCTAGGGCTCCTCCTAACCACCCACAGCATGGACTTTCTCCAGGGCAGTGACCAGCAAGTCAAAATACACAGGTGCACACAGAAACCAGTGAGCAATAACAGATGCCAGGAACAGACTCAAACCTGCATCATAAATTGGAATTAGGACACCAAGGTTTTTCAGTAATATGCTTCTATGAAGACCTACAAGACCTTCTGGAACTCGCACCAAAAAAAAAAAAAAAGATGTCCTTTTCATCATAGGGGAATGGAATACAAAAGTAGGAAGTCAAGAGATACCTGGAGTAACAGGCAAGTTTGGCCATGGAGTGCAAAATGAAGCAGGGCAAAGGCTAACAGAGTTTTGCCAAAAGAATGCACTGGTCATAGCAAACATCCTCTTCCTACAACACAAGAGATGACTCTACACATGGACATCACCAGATGGTCAATACAGAAATCAGATTGATTGATTATATTCTTTGCAGCCAAAGATGGAGAAGCTCTGTACAGTCGGCAAAAACAAGACCGGGAGCTGACTGTGGCTTAGATCATGAATTCCTTACTGCAAAATTCAGACTTAAATGGAAGAACATAGGGAAAACCACTAGGCTATTCAGGTACGACCTAAATCAAATCCCTTACAATTATACAGTGTAAGTGACAAATAGATTCAAGGGATTAGATCTGACAGACAGAGTGCCTGAAGAACTATGGACAGAGGTCGTAACATTGTATAGCAGGCAGTGATCAAAACCATCCCCAAGAAAAAGAAATGCAAAAAGGTTGTCTGAGGAGGCCTTACAAATAGTTGAGACAAGAAGAGAAGCAAAAGGCTAGGAAAAAAGGAAAGATATACCCATTTGAATGCAGAGTTCCAAAGAATAGCATGGAGAGATAAGAAAGCCTTCCTCAGTGATCAATGCAAAGAAATAGAGGAAAACAATAGAACAGGAAAGACTAGAGATCTCCTCAAGAAAATTAGAGATACCAAAGGAACATTTCATGCAAAGATGGGCTCAATAAAGGACAGAAATGGTAAGGACCTAACAGAAGCAGAAGATATTAAGAAGAGGTGGCAAGAATACACAGAAGAACTATAGATCTTCATGACCCAGAAAACCACGATGGTGTGATCACTCACCTAGAGCCAGACATCCCGCAATGTGAAGTCAAGTGGGCCTTAGGAAGCATCACTACAAAGCTAGTGGAGGTGATGGAATTCCAGCTGAGTTATTTCAAATCCTAAAAGATGATGCTTTTAAAGTGTTATACTCAATATGCCAGCAAATTTGGAAAATTCAGCAGTGGCCACAGAACTGGAAAAGGTCCATTTTCATTCCAGTCCCAAAGAATGCTCAAACTACCACACAATTGGACTCATTTCACATGCTAGCAAGGTAATGCTCAAAATCCTTCAAGCTATGCTTCAACAGTATGTGAACCAAAAACTTCCAGATGTTCAAGCTGGATTTAGAAAAGGCAGAGGAACCAGAGATCAAATTGCCAACATCCATTGGATCATAGAAAAAGCAAGAGAATTCCAGAAAAACATCAACTTCTGCTTTACTGACTATGCTAAAGCCTTTGACTGTGTAGATCACAAGCTGGAAAATGGGAATACCAGACCACCTTACCTACCTCCTAAGAGACCTGTATGTAGGTCAAGAAGCAACAGTTAGAACTGGACATGGAAAAAAAAAAGAAAAAAAAAAAGAACTGGACATGGAACAGACTGGTTGCAAATCAGGAAAGGAGTACGTCAAGGTGGTATATTGTCACCCTGGCTATTTAACTTATATGCAGAGTACATCATGTGAAATGCCATGCTGGATGAAACACAAGCTGGAATCAAGATTGCCAGGAGAAATATCAATAACTTCAGATATGCAGATGACACCACCCTTATGACAGAAAGCAGAGAGGAACTAAAGAGCCTCTTGATGAAGGTGAAAGAGGAAAGTGAAAAGGCTAGCTTAAAACTCAGCATCAAAAAATGAAGATCATGGCATCCAATCCCATCACTTCATAGCAAATAGATGGGGAAACGATGGAAACAGTGAGTTTATTTTCTTGGGGTCCAAAATCACTGTGGATGGTGACTACAGCCTTGAAAATTAAGACGCTTGCTCCTTCGAAGAAAAGCAATGACAAACCTAGACAGCGTATTAAAAAGCAGAGACATTACTTTGCCTACAAAGGTCCATATAGACAAAGCTGTGGTTTTTTCAGTAGTCATGCATGGATGTCAGAGCTGGACAATAAAAAAGGCTGAGCACAGAAGAATTGATGCCTTCGAACTGTGGTGCTGGAGAATACTGAGAGTCCCTTGGACAGCAAGGAGATCAAACCAGTCAATCCTAAAGGAAATCAACCCTGAATATTCATTGGAAGGACTGATGCTGAAGCTCCGATGCTTCCGCCATCTGATGTAAAGAGCCAACTCATTGGAAAAGACCCTGATGCTGGGAAGGATTGAAGGCAGGAGGAGAAGGGGACGACAGAGGATGAGATGGTTGGATGGCATCACTGACTCAATGGACATGAGTTTGAGCCAACTCCAGGAGATAGTGAAGGACGGGGAAGCCTGGCATGCTACAGTCCATGGGGTCGCAAAGAGTCAGACATAAATGAGTGACTGAACAACAACAATGCTTAAAAAATATCTTCAGAGTATGGGGGGAGGGATGAATGGTGTAACAGATTCAAAATAGAACCTAAAGGAATTTCCAAGGACAAAAGAAATGCACTAACAAAAACTCAGTGGCCACACACCTATTGCAATTTTTTTTAGTTTCTAAAATTTTTTAATGAAAAAAATTTCTTTTAATTTAAATTTGTAAACATTTTTTAATGTTTTCATCAACAGGTCAATGGATAAACAAATTATGGCACATCCATACAATAGGATGCAGTTAAAAGAAAGGAACTATTGGTAACACACAACAATATGAGTGAAACTCAAAAGCACTAGGCAAAACAGAGAACATACTATAATTCCCTTATATAAAACTCTAGAAAATCAAAACTAACCTTTAGTTCCTGGGGATCTGTAGGAAGGAAGGAGGGATTACAGAAGGGCATAAGAGAAGTCCTGGGATG